GCAAAAAGACAGTGAAAATTATAAAAAATTTCAGTAGTAGAGTGGAAATTAAATCAAAAAAATAAATAGATAGGTGTACAATAAGAAGAAAAATTACCTTTATTTCTGTAATAATAACAGTAATACTGGAAATAGTAGACATCAGAAACTTGAAAGGGTTTAAATAAACAATAAATTATCACTTTACAATGTTCTTCAACGTCCCTTTAATCTTAAATGTTCAGCAAAAGCAAGATTCCTGCCTTTGATTATTGTATGTAGCTGGAATGCAATTTTGTGACTTAAGGGAAAGTCGGGTAGCATCGGACATGATAACAAATCATTGCAAAACATACTTTTATTAACAAAGTTGTCCAACAAAATTATATTCAAACGATTATTTTACATGTATATTACATGTCTAAAAAACCAAAAAACATAAATATTTAAAAATAAATACAAATTCTTTGAACAAAGATAATTAAACATATTTGAACTCTGAAAAATTGGCGGGTAATACCAGACACGAAAAAAAGTTGCTGTTATTGCAGCACAAAACAAAAATGTTAACAGTTATCACACCTGTAATACATTTGACCTTTTTCCACATCAGAACAAGCCTCATGGACCCAGTTTTTACATTCACAACACTGGATCCAGTCTTCGTCGAAACTTTCATGACAAATGAGACAATAAGTTTTTGGGTTTCTTTAGTCTTCTCTTTATGTGCTTTCTGTTTCTTCTGTTCTTGTGCACCTGATTTATTAACTATATTTGCATTATCACTTAAATTTTTCTTTGCCATATTAGCCTTGTTTTTATTTTTCTCTTCCAACTCATTTTTAAGTGGAGTGGAAGTAAGCACTTCACTTTTTTCAGCACGTCTTTTTCTTTTTCTTGTTCAGCAGCATTGGGGATTGGAGAAATTTCTTCTAGAAGATCACTAACACTTTTTCCTAAAGTTGTATTCGGATCAATAATAGTTTTTTAGGCAAATTTTTTCCTGCCGTTGGTTGGATTTCTTTGTTCAGAACACGGCGGGTTGATTTGGCTAGTTGAGGGCTGGCTAGTTGAAGGTTGGTAAGTTTCATTTAATGTACAGAGGTTTACGACTTTTTTACATGGAGTTTTCATTTCAGATGTACCAGGAAGTTCTTGTTCGTTGAGCCTTGGCGGCGTTTTTGGTAACGTAGGTATTTGTAGGTATTCTAGTGATTCTATTGGCACGTTTTCTTTCTCATTACAACTATTATCAACAGTGGGTGTTAAAGCATGAGTTTCCCATGGTTTTGGGACGTCTAGTCCTTCCGATGCAATAAAATCCAAGTCTGTAAAAATCTGTGAATTCAGTGGATACATGCCGCTACACTCAAAACCTCTCTTAGATAAGTCCATACTGCAAATTTTCGTAAACGCCTCGTTCACCAGACCTGCGATTTCATAAACACTAATTCTCATAAAGGGATTTTGTCTCATCCAGCGAGATGCTGCTTCATTGTAGGTATCATTGAATGGCTTCATTACACACACATCCAAAGGTTGCAACTTATAGGTGCAATGAGGGGGTAAGCTTAACATATGGATATGGTTTTTTGCGGGCAAAGTTAATGACTTTTAAATCTTTATGGCTGTAATGTCCATCGATAATTAGAAGTACTCGCTCCTCTTCAAATGCACGTGTGATTTTTACAAACTCCTGCATGCATTTTAAAAAAAAATTCACCGTTCATCCAGCCAGAGTCCTTTTCCGGAGTGCCAATTTTCAGTCGCTCAATAATATTTTTTTTGGGAAAAATGAATAGTGGAGGTATGAATTGATTTCCTGCCGCATTGATACATAATAATACAGTTATAGTGCGGCCCCTTTCACCAGAAGTCATTTTACCAACTTGTTTTTTTTCCCTTTATTGAGACGACTTTCTGCCGACATACGTGGATTGTAGACACACCAGTTTCGTCAGCGTTGTAAATTTTATTGGCCCCAAAGTTATGTTTTCGCATTAGTTCTTCAAGTTTGTTAAAAAATCTTCTAACTTGTGGTCGATTGAAGCCTACTGCTCTCTGTAAACTCGTTGACTCGGCAGTTCTTAAAGATAGCTCAGGATGACGTTTAAGAAATGTATAATAAAAGTCTTTTCCAGCAGTATTTTTTCCTTATTGAATCTATGTGGAATTTTTAAGCGCTCCGCCAAATCAAACGCAAGTTTTAAAAATTCTTTTCTGGTGATGGGCATTAGGCGACTATCCAAATCTCGCATGTGGTCCACAAGCTGCTGTTCATAATTGGCGGGAAATGTGCAGCGATATCGTCCAAGACTTGGAATAAGTTGTATTTCTTCGTTATTTTTCAAATGTTTTACTTTATCAGCAAGCGTACTTTTGGGAACACCATATCGTTTTTGCCGCCTCTCTGATTGTCAATTCGTTATCAAGCACTTTTTTAACGGCTGTTCTCATATGATCTTCGTCCCATTGCCCACGTATGTTTTTGTTAATAAACTTCGGCATTTAAGATGTTCTAGAAAAAAAATTTAAATTATTTTGCGTCCGGTAATACCCGATATGTTTGTGTCCGGTGACACCCGACATGCACCTTGAGATCAATTTACTATTAACAGGTAGGCATTTAAAATGAAGAGTATCTGTACACATTTTAATATTCACTACTCATATGTGCATGCATTGTGAAGAGGGCACACAATTAACACTTACCAATTAAAATAAACCGATCCATTAGAGTTAATTCTGTCCACGTCAAAAAAGTAAAATATCAAACACAAATTTGTATTAGAGAGTTTTAGCAAACTTACGTTAGATCTCCGCTAACGTTAACGCTGCTGTTAAAATAATGTTACGTGTACTGTAACGGCATGTGTAAAATATAGTTTTAGCAGATTCAACCTTAACCTTCTTTTACGAATACCTTCATATGTTAATTGTCAATGTCAACAAAACTATTTATTTTCCGAATTTTGTAGAGAGTGTTTATGGTGTACGTTAATTATCTTTTGTTGATTGCAATACATTGATTTGTTATATTGTTATTATTGAAGTCGTTCTATTATACCTATCTAATCGTAATTATTCAAATAAAAAGTATAATAGTTGGTGTATAGGTAGGTTTTGAGTCCGATGCCTTCAATTTTCTTGCAATACAATTTTTTTTCAGTGATGGACGAGTTCCTAGAAGTTGCCGTGCTAGGAGAATTTAACGATGAAGATATCGAAGAAGGATTAGAACATATATTGTTAAATCCTCGTGCAGTTGCCTTCCCGAGAGCTTCCAAATATGAGCGCTTCAACCTGGACGGATTTACAGATGAAGAATTTATTAAATATTTTAGATTTAAGAAGGAACATTTACCTAGACTCTGTGCTGGATTGGGTCTTCCGTCGCAAATATCATCTCCTGGAGTCAGATGTGCTGTGACAGGTTATTATATTGCAATTTGCAAGTATATTTTTATTAAATCCAAATTTATTTTTGTAGATATTGTAGGAATATGTATGTTTTTAAGAAGACTATCATATCCTAATCGGTTGATAGAGTTAGAACCTATGTTTGGATATTCTGCAGAGTTTTTGTCCATCATTACCAATATAGTTATGAACAAAATCATTGAAAATAAAGGACATCTACTGAATAATTTAACAAATTTAACTTTTCTAAATCGAGATAGAATGGAATATTATGCCAATGTAAGTATGTTATTTTGACGATGGCTCAGCCTTGTTAAAGGCTTATCTAAAGTGATAATATATAATTTAGTTTATTCTTTTGTAGGCCATATCTGGAAAAGATGCTCCTTTAGAAAATTGCTGGGGATTTATCGATGGCACTGCAAGAGCAATTTGCAGACCTACTACAGACCAAGAAAATTATTTTTCGGGCCACAAACGCTTTCATTGTGTAAAATACCAATCAATTTTATGCCCAGATGGAATTGTAGTTAGTTTAATGGGACCATACATTGGCAGAAGACATGATGCAGGTGAATAATAATATGATTACAGGGTATAACAAAAATATGTACAGTAACTTTTACCAGAGTTAAGCCCATTTAAGCTAACTTGCTTATATAAAAAATTGTTACAAATAAATATTTTAGAAGTGATTTTTTGCTCTTACTCTAAAATGGCCCAGCATATTTTTATGAAAACGTACATGGGATGTTAGTATACAGTAACCAATAAAATGGGGTTACTGGCATTTAAAATAGCTTTAATTCTGTGTTTTTAGAATGGTTTTGCACCCCTTTGAACCCTACTTTTTTAAACAATGAAATTTTAACACACTAACTTTCTTACTATCCATTTTTGATATAAGCAAGTGTTTAAATCAACTTATATTTAGCACCAGAAGCTGTGGTTTAATTTATTGTACATATTTCTGTTGCCTATTATAATGTTTTATTAATTTTTTTATAATTTTACAGCTTCATAATTTTCTTTTTAGTAACTGTATTTTTATACTTTTAAAATAAAATGTAAACTTTCTTTTCTAGGAATTTACAGAGAAAGCAACATATATGAACAATTAAGTGAGATTGCTTCATTTGAAGACAAAAAATTTGTAATTTATGGTGATCCAGCTTATCCCATTCAAGATTTGATTTTACGACCCTACCCTAATGCACAATTAAGCCCAGCAGAACAAGCTTTCAATACTACAATGAGCTCAGTAAGGCAATCTGTTGAGTGGGGGTTTGGAAAAATTATTGCACAGTTTGCATTTTTGGATTTTAAAAAAAATCAAAAGCTTCTGTTGCAAGATGTTGGAAATATGTATAAAGCTGCAATGATTTTAACGAATTGCCACACTTGTCTGTATAGAAGTGAAACAAATTCATATTTCCATACAGACCCTCCAACATTAGATATTTATTTAGGTGTATGATAAATTTTCTGTAGTATATTTTGTAAATAAATAGGTACATTTAGTGAATGTTGTTTTATTTTGTAACACATAAAAACAAAAAATCAACTTGTTATAAAAATTTTAACTACTATTATATTCTATAGGCATTATAAAAACTCACAAACAAAAAACTTAAAAAAAAAAAAACAATTATAAATTTTTAACTTTAAATAAATAAATAAATACTTAAAAAACAATATAAAAAATAACACTATAAAATAAAAATTTAACCAAACTTATTTTTTTTTATAAAAATTGTCCATTACAAAGGCCACTAATTTTTGGTATTGCCCTTGCGAGTTTACTTCAATTTGAAGTTTTGACTCCCGTTCCTTCTTCTCCATCTCTAACCTACTTTCTCTTTCAAGTTTTTCCAGTGCAAACTTGTCCTCATCCAATTTTTGTTTCCTTTCATTTAGTTCTATTTCTCGTTCTTTTAATCTTAAATCTATTATCTTTATTTCCCTTTCTTTTGCCTGTTTTTCTTGCAAATATACCAGACCTACATCTCTGACCACACTTCTCTTTTTTCTTATGTGGGTGGGGGTTGCAACTAAAAAAAAAATGTTTTTACAAATCACAGTAAAGTGGGTAACTACTATCTATATAAGCTAATTGTTTTGTTAAATTTGTATAGTAAATAAATTTAATTTAAATTGATCTGAAAGATAAAAATTATGTATTTACCCTGTCTAGGTTGGGTACCAGGAATATTATAAGGGTTAACATTTTGGGTTGCAACTTCCACTTCTGACCCTGCATAATTATGTTCTGGCTCAAAGGTAAGCTCCTCATAATTGGAATTTGTTGCATTTTCGCGGTTTTGAATACCTTCAATTCTAATGTTTTTTGAATTATTTTTTTTAACAGCAATCTTATTAAATTCTCTCATTAAGTCTACTATATTTTGGAGTAATTGTTCTTTTTCAAAATACTCTTCCTCTGTTCCAGACCTTAAAAAGATTTAGTTAGGTTTTTTGATTGAACTTTTAGCAAAAACTTTCTTTAATATTTTTTAATAAAATTACCTCCTTAATTTGTTTCTGTCCTCCTTTTGAAAAAGTTTAATCAAGTGATCCACATGGTCCTTGATGGTTCTTAATGTAAAGGACTTCTGAGTATGGGAAACCATTTTCGATAAAATGATTTGCCACCTCAGTTTATCTTCAAAAGGATTTAATCCTACAACTTCCCTTAGTAAATATAAATCCTCAGATATTGAAAAATGTTGACGCTTTCCTTTCTCCATTTTATGCACTACAGTTCACAGTTTCCGCAAATATTACCACACTATAAAGATAAACAATATGAAATAAAACAAATTACAATTCTCATATTCTCAGTAGTAATAAAAAAGTCTAAACATAAACGAACACATTTATTAGTTCTTCTTTTTATTTTAATTCCAAAATGTCAAAAATTTCATCCAATAGGAAACCTTTATTTCGTATAAAGTAACACTTTAAAACACCCACTAATTTTGCCAATCTAACGTGTCCCGCTAGATTTGTGACCCGTAACTTTACACGTAGGCATGCGCAAATACCTATTCGAAAGTCTAACGTTAACGTTAGCGTTAGCGGAAAAGTGCTAAAACTCTCTATTGTCTAAACACCTTAACGTATGAAGTTCGACTGAAGAATGAAGATATGTTGCTACATTAATCGAAATGGTTCGTGTAACAATTCAATGGAAGCGGCAAAACGACAAATAACAGAAAACGACAAGCGTCCGATGATACCCGCTGTCCGGTGCTACCCGACTTTCCCCTACTAATAGAAAACCAGTTTTAATCATTCATTCTGTTTTCTTTCAAACAAAAATAAAAATACAAATGACAATCCTGCTGTTTATACATTTAAACTTCACGCTATTATTTAATGCCTTTTTTTTTATTTTGACAAAATAGGTTATTTCTTCAAAGACAACTTATTAGATTTAGGCAACTTCTCATACATTTTCCCGTAAATACGGTTGCCTGCCTATATTTTATTATTGATTTTTATTGATTATACTATTTTTTTTTTAATTTAAGCGATGAAAATATGTAATAATAATAAATTACTGTTTTACTTGTTTTACAAATCCATATACTTTTATTAAAACTAACATATATACTTTTTAATTACAAATTCTATTAAAAATTGTATTGTCAGTAAATGCAGAAATTGTCCATTAGTACCTAAGTGAATTTGAGCTGCAGTCACGCACGGAGCGAATAGATTAAAGGTTGGATAACAAACTAGAAAACAAAGAATTAATATTAGGAGCTTTCTTAGAGATCGAGGGTACATTTGACAATACCTGCGTATACTCCATCATCATAACTCTAAAACATGAAAGAAATGAGGAAACATGTGTGACCTGGATTGGCTTAAAGGAGGAAATGATACATGCAACCATTATGAAAGAGACGACAGCCGCTTGGGTTGCGAGGGAATGCCCACAGAGAGGAGTACTGTCACCACTCCTGTGGAATCTGTGAAACTGTGGAGTATCACCCTCCGAGCAATTACTAATAGAGGGAGCGTGAAAACGAGTTTGTAGGCGATTGTTGCGTTAACAACATCTGTAGAGGAAGTGAGGAAGCGGGCACAAGGGGGAAGGTAAACATCCTTCTCGTTCAGTGGCGTATCATTTATCTATAAAAACACATTGTCCAAACGTTTTAATTATAAAAAAAAACTAAAAAATTTGCTAATTTTAAAATTAATACCGTCTTATATGTGTCTAATGCAGGAAATGAAACAAAATCACTGTAAAGGTCTAAATTTTTCAATTGAAGAATTAAACCTTAAAATCAAGTTTATTATAAATAAATACAGGAGCGACTAGTTTCAACGTTACAGCAACATCTTCAGGCCTGTAATATAATATTCTTTAATTATTATAATAGGTTGGTCACTTACACATAACAATAAATAGTATAAACCACATAAATGGATCCATATTGTAGCGTTACAGCATTATAGAACTAAAGCTGTGAAAATAAAAGAGCAGTGCAAACTTAACTAAAAATAAGAAAACTGAGTACGGAATCTACAAGAGAAGAGGTGAGAATGAGCAATCACGAATGCATTTAAATTGCTCGGGATAACAAATAAAGCTGATAATGTAGTGGTATAGTCCCCGTCAAAGAAGGTCTGGATATGTCTAATTTTTTATTATCACTCACCGTTATGCCTTTATCTTCGAAATTCATTTTTAAAAGGAAATAAAAGTAATTATTCATACAAGCATATAATAAAACAACATGAATTAGTTATATTTAATATGCTAATAAACGTTTGTTTCAATGAAAAAAACATATATGTGAATATAAAAAATATATAAATAGATAAGATTAATATCAAAATCAATTTGAAAATACAACAGAGATAAAATGAAATAAATTAATACAAGTTCAAATAGAAAGTTAATAACATACCTTCTAAAAGTAACACATTTTAATTAGATAAATATTTAAAGAGTTTATTCCCGAACATAACTAATCTAACGTTTTTCCCCTTCTTAATATTATGAGGGTTTTTGTAGTTAAAATGAAAATTATCATTTATTTTGGTCCTAATAAAAATTTTAACATAGGTTATCAAAGAGTAAAATACATAATAGAACTTCATAATCTTAAATCGTTATCAAAAAATATTAATGGTAAAACTTCAAACAATAATTAAATTCTTAAACAAATTTCTAGTTTTTGTTTTGCAAAAGACTTTTTTGCCTACTTCGGTTGCCTCTGCCACTTTTCTTTTAGTAGTTTCGAGGAGAATTTTCCTATGGAAACCAGTAGAACCATCAATTGGTTGGTAAAATTTTGATATTTTGGGTCTGGTAAGTCTTGTTAAGCTTCCTTCTTAGGAAGCTGTAACCTTATGGAGAATACAAATTTAATGTTAGATCAAAAGCTCTTAATTGAGAATTATATTTGTAAAGGCCGTTTTAATATTATTTTCAAAAGTTCTTGGAATCGTTGTTAACAGAAACCTGCAAAAAAATATATCATTTTATTCCTAAAATATAAGATATCATATCACACAATGCACATTCATATAATATCATTGTGCTAGAAAAATACTAGGTAGGTACTGAGACAATTTAAAAAAAGTATTTCGAGAAACTCAACTTTTAATGTCATTGTACTTAACCTTTTTATTGCTAAATTATTAATAATGTCATTTTATGTAGTTCGTTGTGATTTGTATAATATATATTATAAAAACCTATCGTCAATGTTAATGTGTCAAGTTTTTTTAATAATTATGTCCTTGTTATAGTAAAAACACATTTAAACACATTTTTAAAGTTTTCTGGATTTCTGCTTTAAATTATCGTACAATTAAATTGACTAATTGTGTGTTTAAGTAAAGGTATATCTCTTTTTTGTTATAACAGTCTTTGTATATTGTTCTAACTTTTTAGACAATCAGAGAAAACAGTAAGACATCTTAATATATCCTATTTCACCAACAAAAATGTAGAATAATTAATCTCACATCAAACGAAAAAAGTAATTTTAGGATGTCCTACTTAATAGGTTTTAACTTAAAAATAAAATAAAATGTTTATTGCAACTGTGTTTAAATAAATGAATATTTTTATACCTGACTATAGCACCAGACAAACATTTTTTTACATCGATCTGCATAACTCAAAATAGTCAAAATCCACATTATTTAAGTTGTTTTAGTATTGTTTTAGCATAACGATTTAAACTCCAATAATAAATATTCACATTTTTTTGGGACGTTTTTTAAGGAAATTAAAAAAAAACATGAATAATGTGTTATTCTTGATTAGTTTTGTACTATACAGGGTGTTTCATAATATATATGCGCAGGACTTCAGGACGTGATAGCTCGTCCAAAAATATGAAAAAACGTTTTTATTAACTTACCCTCTAAAATGCACCATTTTCGAGATACAGGGTGTTGAAATTGAAAAAAAAAAATTCTACGCCACTGGAAAAAGTACGGTTTTGAGACCCCCATTTGAACCGCCAATGTTTTCTACACAAAAAAGGTACTCTTGGTCATACGCTCTAAAGTCGACCGTTTTCTAGAAAAATTAAATTTTGTTTCATCAAGTATGTATGACCATGTATTTCAACATTAAAATTTGATTTACACATAAAGCATGTTTTCACCATTTTATTAGAGATAATAAATCTTAAATATACATTTACAACCCTTACAACGTTATAAATAATAATATTTTCTGTAAAATACAAATAAGAAATTGACATGTGTCAGAAAGTGTCAGAATTGGCGCTGTCAAACTTGGCAACGCTGATTTGATAAGCCAATTACAGAAGATTCCCTCTAGTAGTAATTGCTCGGTGGTATCACCTTGTTTTATAATATTTTATTTGTTGGTTATGTATCAAGTTAGTTAAAATATAAAAAGAACTATTAATAAAAAGGTTATTATTTCGAAGACGCCCTTTTCTAAAAAATACATTTTTTTTACAAAATTTACATTTTAGTCTTTAGAAAGGAGAGTATTTTTCAAATATACCACCGGAAACCCCATAAATTAACGTTTTTTTTTTTTTAAATTTTACATTACATTAAATTAAGTGATTGTTTAAACTTATTCATTAGAATTTAGAATTATATTTGTCATGTTCTGTCAATACAAATTAGCGCGGAGTTGCCAGGTGTCCAATTAAAATCAACGAAAAAAGAAATACCCTATTTTTGACATAACATTTTAAAAGCAGTTTTATTAATTTAGTTCCGGTAACACCCGATGATTTATTTATATATTTTGATTGAATTGTTGTAATACATTAATTTTAAATATTAATATTACGTCATCTATAAAATAATAAACAATACTTTTCGAAAACTTTGAAACATAATTTAAGGTATGAACGTTTATGATAAATTATGTTATTTAGACCAATCAGACATGTCTGAATAACAATCTATTATAAACGTTTATGTTGGTTTATCAGAATTCAAAACAATAAGAACAATAAGTACCCTGACATACTTATGGTTCATGATAAGCATTTTGGATAAAAAATGTATCAAATAAATCATATTGAGTACGTCAGAAATATACCAGGCGCACTATTATTTCAAAATAACGCAAGTATTTATCAAGCTTATAAAGTTGACACATTGCAGTTTTAACAGTTTTATTTTAAATTTAATAGAGTACAAAAAATTATTAAAAAAATCTATTCTTGCGTAATTTTGGAGTAATGATCAACCCAGTATATTTCTTATTAACTTGATTTAATTCATAAAATTTTATTCAAAACCGTTTTTTGTAAACCTATCAGGAATCTAAATATTAGTATGTTAAGTTACTTTTTGTACTACTTCGCCATACTACATCTTATCATGCTCAGGCCAATGGCATTATAGAGAGAAGTCATCGTTGTAAAAAAGTAGCTTTAATGTGTCGTTTAAAAGAATCTTGGGAACTTTGGATCCACGAAATAAATGTTGTCCTCCTTGGG